GGCAGCAGCACATCACCATAACACATCACAGCAAAATACCAATCAGAGAAAAATGAATTTTTTTCACTCACCTACTGTGATTCAGTTGAGATGCGAGGTGGTCGGGGAGGCAGAGAAGGCACACAGCCTACGCGGTCCGATGGTCGGGGACGGCGGCGGAGGAGGGAGGGAGCGCGGCGGAGGGAGTCCGGCGGTCGGAGACGGCGGCCGAGGTGGTCGACGACGGACGGCGGCAGACAAGGAGGGGCCCGGCGGCAGACAAGGGGGAGCCGGGCGGTTAAAAGGCGATTCAAGGCGGGGCAAGGCAGGTTGCGGCGGTGGGGAGGGCTGCCGGCGGCGGACGAGCAGCAGCGCGCCGTCTCCTATGGATCTGGAGTTTATGGAGCTGGGAGTTGGAGCGCGCCCGAACCGCGTGGTGGAGTGGAAATAGGAAAAGCGAGGAGGATAGATCGAGTGGTCAACTGTTCACCGACGCCATTTTCCCCCCTCGACTGCACGTGCGTTTTGGTTTAGGCTAGTGCCAGGCGCCGGTCGACCGGCGGCAGCCTCGATCGGCTGCATCCGGGCCGTACGATGCGGCTAATGTGAACCGTCCGATCTGCTCCCATTGCTTCGTCCTTCTGTTTTTTTTTCTCTCTCTCGAAAATCATGGTACCACGTATGGGAAACAGAGGCTGCAGTGGAGGGGCCGAGCCATGGACGCACACGAGGCGACCGAGCTCGAAGCACCACCGCTCTCCGCCCATGGAGCTTTGTAGCACCCGCTCCTCGCCGGTTTCGACACGAATCCTCGTCGGCAACTTCATAGCCGTCGTGGATCACAGTCCTCACTCTCGAGCAGTGGTTCACCGTCACATCATCCACCACCGCCACCGGCGCCTATACACACTGAGTAGCCAGTTGGAGCATCCGGCAACACTGGTCCCAACAAACGTTGTCACCGGTTCCAGCATTTGGCGTCGGTTCCGACAATTGATGTGATTGGTTCTAGCAAATGGCCACACCCATCGCATCATCCAAGTGTCGCCAATGCTAACACTCAATGTTGTCGGTTCCAACAAATGACATCACTGGTCACGGCTTTGCCACCACCGTCGACAGTCATAGCACAAGATGATGCTAGTTGTAGCTTTTGTCGCCGCCGGTCATGACACGGGTCGAAGTCGGTTAGCTCTGCCATGGCCGGTAGCAGCTTCTGCTGACACGGGCTGACACGATTGTAAAAACTTCCTCTGGTATATTCTGGATACCCACAAATTACACACAAAGAAAGTGCATTCACAACCTCTTCTAGGAAAATAATAGACAATTATCTGACCAAACATATAAATGAAGTGATCTCTCTCTCTCCCCCTCTCTCTCTCTCACACACACACACACACACCATTCATCAACACTCTACCAAAAATTAGGGAATATGAAAGTGTCCTGATCTTTGAATGATAGGAAACAGATTAAAAAAGGGGAAAATGTGTTGATGATAATTTGAACAATTGGAATCAGAACATAGGTACATACAGTTCTAGGCAGTGACCATCATTGATTAGCTGGGCAGAACTACATATTAACAAAAAAAAGTGTTCCAATCGATGACAAAATGTTGCGCTATCAAATTAAATGGAATAAATGACTAAGGAAAACGGAATGGACTGAAAAAATACTTAAAGGACCAAAAAAATGTCCTGATAAGTGAATAGTGATGAACGAGTCACAAAATATAGAATGAGTGAGAGTGAAGATACATATATAGACATGCATGAATAATGAAATAATGATTTGTGAAGATTACATATCTATGAAATAGTGGAAACCCTATACCACGTATGGTAGTTCAGTGTTCGTCCTAGCAAGATAGTGCACAAAACGAGAATGTGAAATGAACAAAAAAGTTGATAACTATAAGAATTAATGATGCAATGTAAACTAAAAGAAGAAGTGAATAAATAAATGAATACCAAAGAAATTAAACTAATGAACAGAACACACTGAACTAACTAAAGATATTGATGAACTAATTGATAGATGACTAAACAAGACTAATGACTAAGAACTTAACTATTAAGGGAGACAATATGGACTGACCAACTCAAAGAAGATGAAAGACCGGAAATAAATACAATGATAACCTATACAATGACTCAAGGATAAACTAAACGAAATGAGATGGTAATTTGAATACACCAGACTAACTAAAGATATTGATGAACTAACTAATAGATGACTAAATGTGACTAATAATTAATGACTACTAACCTAAATTGAAAACTAACTCAGTATTCATCTGCTCGCTAACTCAATAAAAAACTATGACTAAAACATAGACATACAAGCCTAAAAGTTAATACTAAAAAATAAACAAAGACTAAAAGTCAAAAGTGAAACATTGCAAACTAAAAACTAGATTAGCTCATAACTGATGACACAGACTGAAATAAGAAACTATGAAAAACTATTAATCAGCTTACAAACTAATACACTAAATGGGACTAAAAAGTATCACTAAATGATTAACGAACTGAAAAACTAATGGGTAATCGACATCAAGAAATTGAAAATCTAAGAAACATGACAACAAACATAAAAACTAAGAACACTATCACCCCAATGAATGATCGACATTGCCATTATTGAGTTTGCACCACCACCCCTAATAGAAACAAATTGGAAGAGAAATTAGAAAGTGTTGAACACACAAATAAGGGCACGACCACCACAATTTTGGTAAACTAACAATCGGAAGGTCGATGTGTTATCGTATGAACTTGAAGTGGAAATTTAAATGGGCCCATAATCAGTTTGGATTATCCTAATGCAACTAAGAAATAGTATGGGTCAATCTAACCGGGCCAAAATCATCACGGACCATTAATGGGTCGGAATGGTCTATGGGCTTTAAAAGAGCCTGTAATCAATTTGAACCATTAGCAGGAGGAAAGGTATGGCTGACCCAAAATAACTATGGGTTGCTAACAGGCCCAAATAATCATCGAGACATATGTGGACCAAACCAAAATAAACCTCTAGCCACATTTGGCCAAAACACACCGAGGCCGTTAATAGGATGAAAGACAACTCAGATCGTAAATGCTGCAGAAGATACCATGGGCCTTTAACAGGCCAAAAGGCATACTGGGCCGAAATCATGCCAACAAGACAACATACCATTAATAGGTCGAAAATAACATCATGTCTTAATTGGCCCAATTACATCGCAGGCCAGTAACAGGCCAAAAGCCAACTCATGTCATTAATAGGCTGAAATATACCACGTGCAATTAACGGGCCAAAAGTCACGTTGGAACACTAATGGTCCCAAGTGTACCTTAGGCAATTAACAGGCCAAGAGACACATCAGGTTGTAAATGGGCCCAAGTATACCATGAGTCGTTAAATAGGCCAAAAGATACACCGGGTAGAAAAATGGTCCAATTCCACCATGAGCCACTAACAGGCTGAAAGGAACATT